TAGTGGCGGTCGAGGGCGGTAGTGTAAGGGCACCGCGAGGAGGTATGACCGTCCAAGTGGCAGCGCAAACACCCACGTCGGCCCAGAATAGCCGCGCACTCCTCAGCGGAAAGGACACCGCGAGGAGGGACGGAGCCCTGAGGGAGGTCCTCCTGAGGGACCTCGGGGGGCGACGCGCCAGCGTGACCGGGGCGGCTGCGTGCCCGAGAGAGGGCGGAGAGTGCGAGCTGAAGGCGCTCAACTGCAGGGAGGGTCGAGTCCTCCAAGTGATAGTGGACGGCCTCGCAGAGATCGAGGTCGTCGCTGTGGTTGCCCTCAGGTGACAGTGGGGCAACAGCGTCCTGCTCACCATACTCCAGCGCGCTGAAGCGGCGTGAGAAGTGGCGGCCCTGCTGCGTGGAACGGCGGGGGCGACCGCGGAAAGGGGAACGGCGCTGGGAAGTGCCGTGAGAGGAGGAGGAGGCGTAGCCCATGCGCTGGGGCTGGGAGGAGGAGGCGGGGTGAAGACGGGCTCGCATCCGCTGATGGTCCCTAGCGGCCTCGTAAGCCTATAGGGCCGATGTGAACTCGTACCGCCATAGCTCGGAGCGGTACTCGAGCGGGAGGCTGGCCAAGAAACGATCGATAAGGGCAGCCTCGGGAAGGAACGCCACGTCACAAACGAGGCGGGCGTCCTGAAAGACCTGGATGTGGCGATCCAGGCCGGCAGCGCCACCAGAGCCGGACCAGCGTGTAGTGACGACACGCTCGAAGGCGTTAGTCACGTCCTATCGGGTGTTGAAGCGATCCTCGAGGAACGCCTGAAAATCCATGAAGGTCGGAGTCCGACCCTCACGCAGGGAGTAAGCATAGGAATCCTCCCAGGCGTCGAAAGGAGCACCACGTAGGCGCGTGGAGAGGTGACCCACCCATGTGTCGGGTGTGGTGCCTATGAGCTGGAGCGTGCGGGTGGCAGCCTGCAGCCACCTAGACACGCGTATGCCTGTACCGTCATACAAGGGGATGTCCGACAAGCGGATGAGTGGTGTGCCACCGTTTTGGCGGCGAAGGGAACGGGAAGCAGGGGACTGCGCTGCGGCGGAATAAGTCGGCGCAGGTCCTGGAGGAGGAGGAGGCGCAACTGACTGTATGCCCGGGCCGCATGGTGGAGCGGCGGGGGAAGCAGCGGCAGGCTGCACGGGAGCTGTGGTAGAAGAGGTCGCGGCGACCGAGGGGATGGGGAGGAGGTAGGATGGAGATTGGTAGGGTGCAGGGCGAGGGAAGCGAGCCTGCATGGAAGGAAGAATAGAGGAAGAAGGGGGTGCACCGGAAGGCGCGGCCACCTGTGAGGGTGGGGGTGGTTGAAGGTGTGAGAGGGCGAGGTTGGTCCGGAGCCGGACGATCTCGTCCTCGAGACTTCGAACGTAGGTCGAGCAAGGTGTGGCGGGGGGAG